TGCTCTCGCCAGACAGACAGAGAGAGACAGAGAGACAGAAAGCGAGAAATCACCCCCCAGAGGGGATGGCCATGCTGCAATCCCTTCTCCTCCATTCTCCTCTTGGGATCTTGGGCACGCATGCACACGCGCCCGGCGTGAGTTTTAAGTCACTGGGTCCGGGACATGAACCGCGGTTGACTACGTGGGAGTCCAGCGACATAGCCATTACGGTAACTGCTGGTTCCCTTTATAACATTTTCTAACATGGGAAGTACTGTGAAAGAGGAATAGCCAAAAGATGTGATACTGCCACAACTCTTAGCTACCCTTTACAGCTGGTCACACCGTGTGGACATCTCTGGGTAGAAGAAAAATCACGTGTCTGTCTCCTCAGAGAAGTCAGCCTTTCTCTGAAAGGCGATCCTAAATTACAGATTGTCTCAGAATTATTGGGCATTAAATCATATTCTCATGTAGAAATTCCACATCAGACAAAAGAAAACATTGAAATGAGAAAGAGAAACCGTAATTCTGTGTTTTCCCAGGAAAGTTAATTTATTTAACGTAAAAGCACTATTCATTCTTCTGAAATTATGTTCTTTCTACTTTTGAAGTTTTTATACTGTTTAAACCATTTTCAGATTTCTTATTCACACTTAATTGTTGGGACAACTTTATAACACACAAGGGGTGTTTCAAAGTGTGTATGCAGTGTGTGATATTGAAATAGAGGATTATACCATATACATCATGTTCTTTTTTTTTAAAAAAAAAAAAAGAATTATTTTATTTAACTTTATTTATTTATTTATTTCAATTTGACTAGAGAGGGACAGAGAGAGAGAGAAAGAGAGGGAAAGTGAGAAAGCAAGTGACCAGGTCCAGGACTTGAACCTCAGTCGGCCATGTGGGAGTCCAGCGCCCTTACCCATTACACCATGTGCCGGCCCCATATACATCATTTCCAATGGAGAATTTTCCATGCTAGAGTCTGTTTATTGTTTCTTCCCTGAGCCCCTCCCACCTGCCCTCTACTACCCACTTTCCTCCCGTAGGGTTTCTGGTATCTATACTTGTCCTCCCTACTATTATAAATTTGGATTTTTTTTTTTTTTTGATGAAATTCCAATGAGAGAAAATGAATTTTCAGAAAATTAAGCAGTGGGGTTTAAAACCCCCTCCCTGCACAATAACCTTTCCCTGGAGGAGTTCTGAGTCAGCTGAATCAGGAGATAGGACTGGGCTGACCCAAACACAGCAGCTCAGTGCTGTGCACAGCGGGCCGGATCCCATGTGGCCCCCACCCCCACCCCCAGCTTGAAAACCACACTGGGCGTGTGCACATGTGTGCCCCATGTCCTGGCCCACTGGAGAATGGGGGAAAAGGATGGCATAGAATGGGGGAAAAGGATGGCAGCATGTCCGTGGCCCACGGCGGGTGCTTTCTCGCCTTCTCTCTGGTGAGCACACGTTCCTTCTGGCAATTAAAAAAAATGACAGAGAGAACTAGGAATAGCCTGGAAAACCAAATTAACTGCTGGGTTTGGGCGATGCAGTATCAGGAACGTGGTTTCTATCCGCAGCTATTTAAAATTAGGCTCCCTGATGCTTCGTTCTGAGAGTCGATCTTGAGACTCACCTGCATGGAGACTAGTCTGGGGCAGACACACTCAAGCAGCCAGCTGAAAGGGAAGGTCCCGAGGAGGGGACCAAGAGGAACAGGACTGAAGTCGGCCTGTGGAAGCCAGACTCGACCCTGACCCAGACGTGCTGCTGCGTGGAGCCAGCCAGAACAGAACACTGCAGAGGCCACCTGCCCTGCCCTGCCCTGCCCTGCCCTGCCCTGCCCTGCCCGCTGTGCCGTGGCTACTCAGCGAGAATCTCCAGGAAAGGCTGGGGGTGTAGATGTTTAGGATGTACCTAGGGTGATGCGGGTGTCTCCGCTGCTTAAGAACCACGGTGGTGCATGGCGATTCCGAGGAGGGTCAGTGCCCACCATCGGGCCTCCGATGGCTTCGTGGAGAACATGGGGTTGGAGTTAGTCCTGCGAGACTTCCAGAAATTCAGTAGATGGGAAAGCAGATGAGACACTTTCAAAGTAAGAGGAAGAACACATTCAAGTCACAGAGGGAGAAGTCGTGCAGAGGACATTAGCTGATCTGTCAGCGATCACACGACGTTAGCCTGGTGCCTCTGGCTGAGCTGCGGCATGCCTGGCAGGTGAGATGCTGCCAGCAAATCCCAGAGAAACTGGGAAATCCCCATCATGGGGAGGCCTCTCGATTTTTGCCTTGATCTTACGGTTCTGCTGTGAGCGGCAGCCCATGGGTATTAGTGGGATGAGGGCAGTTGGGAATGTGCAGCTGGGTGTTTTTAGACCCAACAAAAGACTTTAAGATATTTATTGTAATGGCAAGGAATGGAAGGCCTTCTGTTAAGAAAAGGAGCCAGAGAGGGGCCGGCAGGTGGCGAGGTGGCTGAGGTGTTGGACTCCCACATGGCTGACCATGGTTCGAGTCCCAAACCTGGCAGTTTGCTTCCTCACACTCCCTCTACCTCTCTCTGGTCAAATTAAAAACAAAATAGTAAAAATAATGATAAACAAAATAAAATAAATAATTCCTTAAAATAAAGAAAAAGAGGGGCCACAGGTGGTGTGGCAGTTCAGGGTGCTGGACTCCCACATGGTCGACCGCGGTTTGAGTTCCGAACCTGGCAGCTTGCTTTCTCACTTTCTCTCTTCCCTCTCTCTCTCTATCTCTGTCCCTCTATGGTCAAATTAAAAAATAAATAAGGTTAAATAAAATTATTATTAAAAAGCAAAGGAAAGGAGGCGGGGGGGGTGCTCTCTGTTGCAGTGGACATGTGCCGCTCAAGAGAAGCCAGATCCCGCCCACTTGGGGGCTGCCGTTTGAATCCCTGGCCTGTTCAGCCTGAGGCACACCAGGCACCTGTGCAAGTGCCCAGGTCCAGGGGGCTGGAGGAGTGGAGGGAGGAGGGCGTTGCACCTGACCGGGACCTGTGGAGGTGCTCCTCTCACTCTTACTCCTGTGTGTGTACACACACGCCCTACTGTGAACACGGGGGGGGTGGGGGTGATGGCAGATATAAGATACCTGATTTTACGTGAAAAGGAAAATATTTCAACATGCATTGTTCAGGTGGTGTGGTGGTTAAGGCACTGGACTCCCGTGTGACCGACTGCAGTTTGAGTCCTGTTCCCGGTGGCTTGCTCTCTCATTCCTTTTTGTGTCTCTCTGGTGAGGGCACATGCCCTGGAGCAAATTTTAAAAATCATAATAAAATAATTTAAAACTTCACTGTTTAAAATGTCATTTCTTTTTCATTCATCCTAGATTTTTAGTAGTGCTTTCATCTGCATACCAACATTTGACATATGCTTTCTTTGGCATTGTGATTGGATGTGGCGAAATCGAATATATAAATTTTCACACCATAGTTTTCATACTCATCTTATTTGTAACAGTGAATTTTGCAAGGTAAGAATTGTATCTTTATTATTTTTGCTAAATTTAGTTCTCAGTCAGGAATTAGAGCTGGGAAACTGAGGGGTATGACAGAAAGGATTCTGGACATGGGGACAGGAGGCCTGTACTGTGTAGGCCTTGACGGCAGCTTGCTCTGCAGCCGGGGAAGTGTTTATTTTTCAAGGTTTCAGAGGGAATGAGTTATTTTTCAAGGTTTCAGAGGGAAGGAGAGGGGGTAGACAGCAGCACAGGGATCCCTCATGAGAGGAGACTCACAGAAATACAAATTGGTGGGCTCAGCCCAGCCAGTTCCGTCTCTGGAGAAGATCCATGAGTGGCGCTAACACGCGCTCTCGGTGGTTCTTTTTTTTTCTTTTTCTTTTTTTAAATTTAAATTTATTTGTTTACGTTCATTCACTGTACATCATTACAGCATACAAAATGAGATTTTTCCATCCAGAGTACACTGTATATTGTCTCAATCAAGCACATCAACATACATGTTATTGTCAACAAATAATTTTCCATTTCTTGTTTCCTGTATGTTTCCCCCCCCCCACATCCTTGCGATTCCCTATCTCTTACCCTCTGCCATCTCCCACTCTCTTCCCACACTGTCTCTGGT